TCTCTTGTTCTTTACTGTGTCTAACTTGAGAATGAACATGTACCCCAAGGGGGCTGCTTCTTCAGCTTGGGTCCCAGAATGAAAAACATGTATCAGAGTCTCAGCCTGTCTAAATCCTGGAAATGCATGGCAGTATAAAGGTAATATGAACTAGGACTAGCCCTCTGTTATTGTAGGTAATGAGAGATTTCAGATTGTTTTGTTTCTTTAGTAAAGCTGGCTAACATAATTGCTTCTCACAGACCTTCCCTAAAATAGTTGCTAAGTTGGAGACTGGTTTAACATTTTTCCTATAAGTAGTTGTTCTAAAATATGTACAATTAATCTTTCCCTTTATAGACAACTTTGGTCTTAATATTTAGAGATTTGAACAAAAGTACTATATAATTCAGTTAAAATTAATGTTCGATGGTTTCAAGAGTTGATATAAATGAGAAAAATGACATTTTCACTGGTATAAGTAAGGAATTTATTTTTTAAACTCTTTTTAATAACAGAGATGTACATATGTACCTGGGTAGACATTCATTCATTCATTCATCTAATATTCATGAATATATACTGTACACAAGTCACCGTACACAAGGCTTTGTATTGATCAGTGAATAAAACATAGTCCCTGCCTTCGTGGAGTTTAACTGTATTTAGATTGGAGAGAGACAAAATAAATGTTATCTTTGATTATTGATCAAGTTGGAGTCTGATAGGTTATGTGCATCTTAATGTCACCTTTCTCTCTTTGTAATTGATTAGCATTGTCTGGAGAGGTACACTTAGTATCTGCGATATCCAGTTCTACATTGGATTCGTTATATACTATAGTGTAACAAATTACATACACTAAAATGTAGTAGCATAAAGCAACAAACATTTATTATCTTACGCAGTTTCTAAGGGTTTGGAATATGGGAATGACTTAGCAAGATAGTTCTGGCTCTGGGTCTCTCACAAGGTTATAGTCAAATTGTTGGTTGGGGTTCCAGTCATCCAATGGCTTGACTAGGATTGGAGAATTCAGTTTTAAGTTCTTTGACTTGCATGGCTGTTGACAGGAAGGCTTAGTTCCATTCCAGTTATTGACAAATGACCTAATTTCTTTGTCATGAAGGAATGTCCACAAGGTTGCTGAGTATACTCATGACATGGTAGCTCTCTTTCTTCCTTTGCAATCTGTGTGCTATTTATTTATTTATTTATTTATTTATTTATTTATTTATTTTTGCCTTATTACAGTGGCGAGAGCTTCTACTACCAGGTTTAATAAGAATGATGAGAACAGGTATTCTTGCCTTGTTCCTGATTTTAAGATGAAAGGATTCAGTCTTTTCACAATTGAGTGTGATATTAGCTGTAGGCCTTTTACAGATAGTCTGTATCAAGTTGATATAGTTTTCCTCTATTCTCAAATTGCTGAGAGTTTTTTTCAATGAATTCTATAAAATGATTTTCCTACATCAATTCATATGGTCATATGATAACTCTTCTTTAGCTTATTAATATGGTGATCTATATAGATTGATTTTCAAATGTTGAAAACTCCTTACATATCTAATATGAATTTCAATTGGTCATATTGTGTGTTTTGTTAATATATATATTGCTAGATTCAGTTCACTAGTACTTTTGTTGAGGATTTTTGTGTTTAAGTTCATTATGGATATTGACCTATGGTTTTCTTTTTTGTACTATGTTTGTCTGGTTTTAGTATCAGGATAATATTGGTTTTATGAGTTGGAAAGCATTCTTTTCTTTTTTGTATCCTAGAAGAGATTGTGTAAAATTGGTCTTAACTCTTCTTTAAATGTTTGGTAAAATTCTGCACTGAAGTGACGTAGGAATGGCTATTTCTTTTTCAAGAGTATTTTAATTAAAATTCAATTTTTAACAGTTACAGGACTATTCAGGTTATATATTTCATCTGGTCTGAGTTTTGATAGCTTGTAGTTTTTAAGTAATTGGTTCATCTTTTTCTAAGTTGTCAAATTTATGTGCATAAAATTGTTTATAGTATTTTCTTATTATCTTTTTATTGGCTATGTAATCTATGGTAACATCTCTTCTTTCCATTCCTGATATTGATGATCTACATCTTGTATCCTTTAATCTTTGCCACTCTTTCTAGAGGATTGTCAATTTTATTGACTGTTTTTTAAGAACTAGTTTTTAGTTTATTAATTTTCTCTATTTTTTTTTCTGTATTCAATTTCACTTATTTATGATTTAAATTTTTATCATTTCTTTCCTTCTGCTTCTTTGGGGCTTATTTTACTTTGGTGAAATAATGAAAATACTGCTCCATAAATCCAGAAGAAACAGAAATCTAGAGAATCGAACCCTGCTAATCCCATAAAGACTTCTGATTTCCTGAAAGGTGGCTGAGAAGCTGAGCATAGCTTTTGACAGCCCTATCGGTTTAGGAAGATAAAAGTTGGATTCTAGGCCCCAGAAAAAGATAGGGGAGAGGCCTTGTATAACCACTGTGTTTTCAATTGAATCCTGAAGACCACATAAGTTCAAATTCATATTTCTTTTCTTCATATTTCTTTTCCTTGAAAGTGGTAACATTACTAAGGGCTAAAGAGTTACTGGGGTCTAGCGGGCAACAGCATGCCTGGGTGAGGAAAAAGTGGCAGTGAATCTAGGGGTCAAGTAGGTGGCAGGCAAGAGCAGATAGTAGCATTAGCATGAGGTTGGTTACTATGGGGAAAGAGGGGTGTGATTAAGCAAAAAATAAGTACATTAAAGATAATGGGAAATAATTTAGAAATTTGGAAAATGAAAAGATTGTATAGTATTATTGAAGTTATAGGTGTAGATGTAAACTTGTATTCTTCATAGTATATATACTTTGATTCAAATTACATATATATATATAGATTTATCTATTCATTTACCCCTATGTATCTATATGTCTATCTATACAGAAAGATATTGAGAAATGAAGAGTGACATAGCTGTGCACTAAGGTGACTCAGAAGCAATGACAGTCTAGAAACAATGAGCACACAAAATACTCAAATCTTGATTTCTAAATGGTATCTTCCACTAAATTAACTCAAATTCCTTGGAAAAAATAGCTTGTTCCAAGGCTGATGCAAGGAAAATACATAAGTCAGATAATAAGTTCTCAAAAGATGAAAAGGGAATGTCAAGAAGGCACAGAGCCAGTTTGAAGGGACTCCCACTGGCCAGAACTGAGATAATTTGAGTATCAAATAAATTTTGATATGACATATAATAACTTTTGAATTAAATGGGAAGTCATGAGTTCATATTGATATGAATAAATAAATGAGGGGAAAGAAAAATTCCTTTCTTATAATATAATGCCATGCAATAAATTAAGAATGATAGAAATAGAAACTATTGACAGACTTTGCAATCATTTTAGTGGTGAAAGATTTAGGCTAAATAATCAATGGATGCCAAATGCAAGGGAGTGAATTATAGCCTTAGATTATCTCCCCACAAAATACTAATCAATCACAAAGATAGAAAAGCTAACATTATGTTAGAGAAAAAGGGCAGACACCAATTTAACCAAATGATCAAGTTTGACAACACCAGTGTGCAACAGGCTGGTATTGCATGCCCTCTGATGTGATGTGCTGAGAGAGCCATAATTTTTCTGTATGTCCTGAGAGTTGAGATGGGCAAGATTGGAAGATATTGTGCAAAATTAAAAGTCTATATTCTAAAACTGCAAAGGTCATGAAACACAGAAAATACTGAGCAGCTGTTGAGACTGAAGGAAATCTGAATTATGATAATAAAATGCAACATGTTATCTCAGATTGGATCCGGGACCAGAAGGAAAAAACAAAAAGCCTTTGATGAAGCAGTTGGGATGGATGTGATTGCAATATATGGATTGGACGGTAGTACTGTGTCAATATTGATTTCCTGATTTGGATAGTTGTGATTATACAGGAAAGTGCTTTATTTGGGGGAAATAGACACTGGCATATTTAAGGGTGATTATGTCTTTATCTCAGATGGTTCAGAGAAAGAATAATGATAATGAATGAGTCTGAATGTGTGTATAGGTATATTCATGTGTGTATGTATGTAACAGCTGTTCCCTCCAGAGACTGAGATTCTAATTACCACCTCAACCCAAACAAAATCTTAAAAGTTTTCAAGACTCTTCAATTTTTGTATAATGCATAGAAATATTACACTAAAACATAGCTTTTATTCTGAAAATCATAATTATTAAATAGGGGGCTGAGAAGTTCCTAGCCTTTCCCCCAAAGAATAAGAAAACATATATCACTTTCTCCCTAGATTTGATCTTTGAGTTTAGGAAGTAATGACATTCTATTCTACTAAAGACCCATAGTGAATTTTTTAAGATCTTGTGTGTCTTCTGATTTAGAGAAAGGAAGCACTGACTGTTAAAAGAAACATGCTATAGAAAAAAATGATCAAGAGAATAGAGAAAAATAGGAGACATAAGCCAAAACAACATTGTTTAAATAAAAAAAAAAATTCTTCTTTTACTTTTGTTTGTATTTTATTTTACTGGCATACATCACGTTCTTTAAAACTTTACAGAGCTTAATTTTATTATCTTGTGTATATGACAGAAATAATACTAAAGCATAACTATATCAAATTAGCTAAAGACATTCAAGCATAAATAACACTCGTTGGGATTATTTATAAAGGTCTGGAAATCAGTTCTGTTATGCCCCAAATTTACATTAAACTAAGGTAAATTCCAAATTAAGCCATTTTGCAGAAAGTGAAAGAAAATCTCAGGAAGGAAATAACAGATCTATTTATACCCTCATATTTATTTATTCTTTAGTTCTTTCTGTCAAGGTTTTCAAATTCCATGTAAATATATATATTTATGCATATATGTATATAAATGTATATATATATATATATATATATATATATATATACTAAATGTACTAACGAATGGAAAAAAGTAACAACAAAGTTAAAGAATTTGGAATGTTTGGTTATTTTTGATGAGGCTTTAACAACTTCAAAAATTTGTGTGTTCCTACATCATTCTCATAGGTTATAGATTTGTGTAATAATTTGTAATAAAGAAAGAAAAGGAAAAACATTTTAAAGATAACAGCAGGGAAAAAAATCTTTCTTGCTTTTTTATATGAAGATCTCAATAATCATGTGAACCTGATCATGATCTTTCACATGACTCGCTCTCTACCAGTCTAAAATAAAAGAGGTAAGGAATGATGAGAAGAACACTTTAATCTCAGATGTGTCAACAAAACCCTTCCTAGATCTCGGTTCGTAACTTCAGTGTAGACCCCTTCATTTGCTGCTCATAGTGCATGTCAAATTTCTCATTTAGGGCTACTGTAAAGTAATTCTTCCAGTCTCCTGCAATCCCTGTAACAAAAGAGAAAAAAAACAGTAAATATTATGTCTTCCAGCCAGAATAATGAAATTTTCTAATATTCATCACTTTCATTAACACTAATCAAATTTTATTCTTGTAATCCTTAATTATAGAAATAAAATATATACCATAAATACTATATATTTGAGAGTGCAAGCAAGGATTTGTCCTGATTGTTAAAACAAAACAAAACAAAACAAACAGCAAATTTATTTCTCTGACCTTCCCCGTTATGCTATCAATACTTCACTTAATTTTTCTTCTCCAGTTTCCTCTGAAATGCTGGGGCTCCTGAGATCCATGTTTTACCTACTCCCAAGATATTAAATATCATCTTCATGCTGATAATATTAAAATGCAGACTTACGTCTTCATATCCAAGTGCCTACCTGATATGACCACTTTCATTCCATACGAGCATCTCAAATTCACCCAGTTTAAAAATAAATTTATTTCCTTCCCTACAAAATTGCATTTTATTGGTGACCTTTTCCATAACCTGGTTAATGGCAACAGCAGGTATCCACTGCATAAACTTAACAGTTATCCTTCAACCACAATATCTAATTCTTTATTTATATTCAGACTTTCTTTATAGCCATTGCCTTCTCTCCATTTCTGCTGCCAGCTAAGAGAAGCTCCTCAGCGTTTCCCACCTGTGTGTTACAATAGCCTAGCAGGCTCTTCTTTTTGCTTTTCATCACATCCAACCCTCCTCTGACAGAAGAAAGTCACCTTGTATTTTAAATTAATCAATTGTTCAATTGCCCCGTTAGCTCAAGGAGATCTAAACTTTCCCAATGACAAGACCCAAAAAGCAGAAGATAGAAAATGTGTCTTGAGAATCATGTGGGGTCTGAAGGTATAACAGTACAAAGCCCTTTACAAACATGGCCATTATTTTAAGTTTGTTGTTTTATCTTAAAAATATATGAGGACATTATGGGAAAAGAAACTGAGATAATCTGAGGATTCAATAATTTAAATATACTCTGCATGTTAACTCTCTTTCATGTGTGCCCTATTTTCACCCAGTGGCAGGTTTGTTATTCCAATTGTTTAAAAAATCCCTGACCCTCTCAATGACAATTTGGTTCCAAGAGCAAGATTTTCTCTGTTCTGTTTCTGCTTCACATATCAGTAAGACTGGATGTCCCAATACTCTGCATATCCTACATGCCTTTGGATTTATAAACTGACTATATCTCATCAAGACCACCATGCCTCCTCCCAATAGATGTCACTTCATTGTATTTTGATATTTTTGCTAAGCCAAGCTGTATTTACCACTAAGTGTTTTGAAACTTAGTCTTTTTTAAAACAACTTTATTGAGGTATAATTTATATACAGAGAACTGTACATATTTAAAGTATACAATTTGATAAGTTTGGAAATTTGCCATTTAGTCTTGAAAAATGCCTTCCACTTGGTTAAGGAAAAGCTGACTAATTGTTCTAAGCTTGTTTCTTCATCTCAAAATTAGATTATAATAGAATTTTCTCTTAACTCTTGCATTAGAATTTAAAAAAAATTAGAATTTACAATTTATATGATGTATGTGATGCAGCACCAAGGCACAAAGACTTAATAAGTAATAGCTAGTAGAGTGTGATATTAGTGCTAGTACTGAGGCTGGGGTGGCTGCTGGTCATTCTTAATATAATTTGCTGCATATACAAAGTAATCAACAAGTAATAGTAATTTATTAGTAGTAGTACTAATATTTTATGCTTCTGCAGAACTGGTCACTCAAATGTGAAACATCTCTGAAGAAAACAAGCAGGGTCCACAGGCATGAATAGATCTTAATAGATGTTTGCCTATAACTATTTCAACTTATGATTTCCTACAGCAATGGAGGCAAATAACATGACTATCTCACCCTTTCTCATGAAGGGAGATACTTTTTGGTTCATGACTTCATCCGGTAGCATTGTGTAATTGGTAGATGGATTGTTCTTCATCTCCTGGAATGAAGTGTGTTTTATAATCTTGTCCACAAGCTCGTCTGATGCCTTCCTTCCCAGAAATTCTATCAATTTCATCACCTCTTTTCTGATATTCTAAGAAGAAAAAAATATTTTGAAGACTCAGTTACTAAAGTTGAATACATTACAACTTTACATTACAACAAAGGACACAGAAAGAAAACTTTTCTTCCCTCCTCTTCCCCCCACTGATATTGGAATTAGGATTCTAGTGAGCAAAAACATTTCTTGGGGAAGTGGTATTTTTTAACTTCTCTAAGCATAATTTTCCTCATTCATAAAATGAACATAAAAGAAACTTCAAAGATTTTTAGAACACTAAATGAGATGCTGTTTATAAAATATTTATTTTAGTCATTTATGCATAATACATGCTCAATAAATACTATCTATGAATATAATATACACTCTTGAAGACTACAGTCCCCTTTGACAGATCAAGTTTGAGGTTGAAAATATGCAGACAGCTTTCAATTTTCTTTTAATTTATTGATGTAACTAGTGAGAAGCAAAGGAACCAGAAAGATTAAGAAAGGGTGTAAAAAGTCAAATACTCAACATGGAACAATATCAGATTTTCATGAACCATAGCTACAAACATCCCCATCTCTAGTCACTTCTATAGCATACCCTATTATTCGGCTTAATCATTCAATGCAACGATTCTCAAAACCAACTATAATGCTTATTCTGATGTATAGTTCCCTTTACACAGAATGCTGTTCTCTAATTCTCTGTTCTACAAATTACAGCTTGCCTGTCAAACTTCAGCTTAAGTATCACCTTCTTTGGGATAATTTCCTCGACTATTCCAATTTGAGTTAGATAACTCTATTTTTGCTCCCATAAATCCCTATATAAATCCATTGTACCATATACGTATTCTCACGTTTTTTATTTACTTGTTTTCCACAAAAAAAGGTAGTATCTCTACATAACAAGGTTACTGTCTTTTTCTCTTTCTACTTGATATGTTGTAGAAACAAGAGAAAACATTTATTCTTCTGTTCCTCATTCACTCAAATAGAGAAGAAACATAAACACGGCCATTTTTGACCAAAATAGGGAGTAAATGGACATGAACAATTTGGAAGGGTGAAATGGTTGGATTAACTAATACATTTTTTTCGTGTGCCTTTTAAATTTACTGTCTTCAATATTCTCGTTACAGAACACAAATTTAAGTAATAAAATAAACTATAGATCATGGCTGCTTCTCATTCCAATTTGTTCTGTGTTAAATTCTATCAAGAAGTAATAATTCAGTTTCTAAAATAATACTTATGATTTTATTTTAAATTTGTCCTCATCAAAACAACTCTAGAATTACTGCCACATGAATCTTAATAATTGTGCAAAGATGTGGATAAGACATGGATATCAATTGCTTTCTTGGTACTAATAAAGAATAAATAAATAAATAAATAAAGAAGATATTTCTTACCCTTTAATAAAAAGACCCAGTAATTTGTCTTTCATTTTAAAATTATTTGATATGTGCACATATGTGCTTTAAAGAATAAAAATCAATATAGCACCCTTACCTACTACCGAATGTATGCAATAAGACATTCATAATTGGTTGAGTTTTTCCATTTGCAAGTTTCCAACTTCATTCTTTTCATTCTCCATTCCAATTTCCACAAACAACAACAAACTTGCTATCCTGAAATTGACCTAATCAATCCTGTGCTTTACTCTGTAGATTTGAGGCTCATGTATGTAACCCTAGACAACATATGGTTTGGTTTTACCCAATTGATGTGCACATTTGAAATGTATTCCTTTTCATTGCAATATAATATTTAATTGTAGAATAATAGTATATATCATGTATTGATTCCTGAATATATGTATATTTGGGTTGTTTCCAATTTTTATGGTCATGGGGAATGCTGCTATGAAGGTTGCTGTATATATAAACTACTACACACAAGTCAGTGTTTCTCAAGAGCATATATCTACTAGTGGAATTCCTGAGTCTTAAATTATGTGCATGTTTGCCCTCCCTAGGTAACACGTTGTTTCCATAGTGTTTGTATATTTTTATACTCTTAACAGAAATGTGTTACTTCTCACTAACATACATCCTGACTGGTATTTATTATTGTCAGACTTTTTAATTGCTGTCAATCTGGTGGATGTGAAAAGGCATCCTAGTAATTTTTATTTTGAATTACCCTGATTATTAAAAAAGCTGGAAAAAAAAACAGATTATGAAGAAATTGTGATGTCCTCACTCTTTTTCATATTGTTGTTCCAGCATTCTCTTTACTCTCTTCTTCTGGAAGTTTGAGTTGATATATGTGAGACCTTGTTAATCTATCTTATATATTCATTACCTCTTCTGAAGTATTCTGTTTATCTCACTGTGGTACATCCTGTGGACTTTCCTCAGCATCATCTTCTACATTAATAATTCACTATTTAGCCATGTCTCATCTGTTATTTAAACTATGTTTTAATTTTCTAATTTTAGTTTTTAAAATTTATTTTAGAAATTCTATTTTGCTGGGGGGTTTTCAAAATCTGCTTTATCAATTTTAGTAATCTCTTATTTCTTTGTAAAATTTCTAATTTCTTCTTTTGTTTCTTTAAATATGTTCAGCATAGTTATTTTATGGTCCTTGTCTGATAATTCCTACCTCTATGGATTTGGAGACCAGTTAACTCTTCTTGCCCATTGTGATTCCTTGTGTGCATATGTGTGTGCATGTTGTTGTTGTTTTGTTTTATGAACTCAAATTCCTTCTTTTATCTTTGGTAAATTTTTGAGACTTGGGTTTATATGTATTCACTTACAGAAGGTTTTTATTTACTAGCTTCAAATCTGTGCTAAAGTATCTGAATTATTTTAACTTTTGGAGTTGGCTGCATCATTTATTTAAAGGCAGAATTTTGTATTTACCATGGTGTCAAATTCTAACATTTTGAGAATTACTAAGTTGCCATATGTTTTGAGTTTCTCACCTCCTTCATGTCTTCATAGAAAAGAAATAGCACTTGTGGATTCTCTCTCTTTTCCCACCAAGATTTTGTGTGTTCATACCAGGAACCATAAGGAACTAAAATTAGAGAGAAAAATAATGTGAGGACATAGCATCATCTTTATATAGCTTGAAAATGAGTCTTCAGACAAAGAAATATAAATAAATGATCATGGAATGAAAACTAGAGATCAGCTGTACATCTGAAGCAAATTTCTCTGCAGCAAAAGCAGCACAGTATGTTGAATAAACTATATACAGAAACATATTTCCAACTTTCATTATTATGACATGGTTTATGACTCAGAGGAAAAGTAAAGGAAGACTCCATCCATTTGATTCAGAGCTTATGAAAGCATTTTTGAAAATGGTGTGTGTGTGTGTGTGTGTGTGTGTGTGTGTGTGTTTGTGAAATCAGGTTGTTAGTGAAATGAGTTGAGTAGTGGAATTATCAACATTATTATGATCAGAATTCAGTCCAGGTCTCATATGTACCATTTAAAAACTAGCTTTGGGGCTTCCCTGGTGGCGCAATGGTTGAGAGTCCGCCTGCCGATGCAGGGAACACGAGTTCGTGTCCCGATCCGGGAAGATCCCACATGCCGCGGAGCGGCTGGGCCCGTGAGCCATGGCTGCTGAGCCTGCGCGTCCGGAGCCTGTGCTCCGCAACGGGAGAGGCCACAACAGTGAGAGGCCTGCGTACCGCAAAAACAAACAAACAAACAAAAAAACTTGCTTTGGTAACTGAAGCTAGCAGCTATATAATTTTTGTTACACCACTCACAGTTTAAATGGTAAGAGGTGCCCTCTTAGGGACGCTTAGTATCATTCTCACTCTAAAAAATTAGAAGATTTTGGAGATGATGTGGTATGACCATATACGGTTTCTTCCTTTCTCTTCCCTCATCTTCTCTCACATATATCCAAGTATTTTACCCAGTAAAAAGCTGACATGATAATATAATGATGTGTGAGTCAAAGTACTCTGCTTTGCATTAAATCGTTACATACCTCTTCTGTTCTTTGACTCTACCGACAATTTATTTATTTATTTATTTATTTATTTAGTATAGTTGGCTTACAATATTATAGTGGTTGTACAACATAGTGATTCAATATTTTAATAGATTATACACCGTAAAGTTATAATAAAATATTGACTATATTCCCTATGTTGCCCATTACTTCCCTGTGACTTATTTATTTTATAACTAGCAGCTTGTACCTCATAATCCCCTTCATCTATTTTGCCCCTCCCTATCCCCCTCCCCTGTGGTAAACACTAGTTTGTTTTCTGTATATGTGGGTAGGTCTGTTTCTGTTTTGTTACATTTATTTCTTTACAGAAAAAGTTATATAATGATTTTTATAGTGATCTTATTCGTTCATTTTGCAGAGGTACATTATCTTTCTCTGCCTTATAACACCTGTTTGATAATCTTGAGGCATGTATTTTATTCATGATGCTTTAGGATAAAATTTTCCAAATGTAGAGATAAGCATAATGCACATATACCACATTTTCATTGAGTCAATATTAAATTTTGTGGATATAAAAATGGTGTTATTATCTTTTTTCCTTACAATTATTACTACAGGATTAGAATGGCCTTCTTTAGTTAATACTAGATTCTCCTGAACCCTTTATTTCTCAAATTTGAATACTCAAGTTGCTTTAGTTGGGAGTTAAATAAAAAGACAAAATTTCCCAGAATTTCTGCTCAGGTAACTCTTACACTGTTCTGAGAAATCTAGTTGAATTATTCAGACTGCACAGTAGTTAGAATGAGTAAGAACTTTGTAGATATTCAGACTTCTTTGTGAATTCTGGCCCCATGTAGTATCTGAAATTTTTCTTAGAAACAAATGAACATTTTCTCTCCTCTGTCTTTTTCCCCTCTTGTTCAATGAAGTTGAAATAACACACTGTGAAGTGCTTCTGTAATAAAAAGAGATGAGAGAGAATTGGACACACATACATCTGTATACTTATTTGTAGGCACCAAACTAGAGTATCCAGGTTCTGCAATTTTCCATCCACATCTGGAAACTCTATGCTTGTTCTAAAGTTCAAGGCCTTCTAGAATTTCTGTGTTTTAATTAAGGACTAGGAAGGATAACAGACCAGAACGGACAACAAAAATTTTTGCCCAGAGATGCCATTTGTCTTGTATCATTTACCTTGAAAGAATTCAGAAAAAGAAACTGTTCATACCTTCTCCATCCATGAATTTTTCCACAAAATCTTGAAAAGAACCAGGATCTGGATTAGCAGTCACCATTAAAAAGAAATAGTAATAAGAAACAACCACATCCTTGGCATTCCGGCAAACATAGATGATCTAAGAAGATGAAATTAGATATTAAATCAGCTAATATTTTTCAAATATAGTCTCACCAAGATTTAAAAAGGAAATGTTTATGTTTTCAACTATAAACATAACACATATTTATTGTAGAAATATATAAAATATATAAAATTATAAAGAAGAAAACTCCTTAAATAATCTAAAGTGACAGCATCTTTTGCATTGTTGTTCAATGTTAGCTCTCACTTTTCATTTTTGTGCCATATTCATTTTTATTTCACATATTTCATTTGAGTGTCTCAAATTCCATTGATATAAAATGGATGAGGCAGATTATTATCCCCAATTTATAAGTACAGAAACTAAACTGAAGCTTAGTCAGAATACATGGTTGAGAATAAATGTACCCAATGAGAGTAAAAAGTCTTCTGGCCTTTATGCTACACCACTATTCCTTATAGCAATAAAAAAAAAAAAAGTCCTGTTATTTTCTTGCTTGCAATCTTGAAGAAAAAATCATGTTTATGAGGTTCTTTTTAAGTGCATGTTGCTGTCAGTGAAAAAATATAATCTTCACTCACACCTTGTTTAGTTTCCATTTTATATAGCGAGGAAACATCAATAAATGAACAGACAGGAAGCCTTGGTTTTAGACGCTGGTTCTGGCACTAATTTCTACCATCTTGTACAAAGCACCAATCATTTTGGACCTACATTTTCTATCTACTAAACAAATGAGTTACATCATATCGTTAAAGTCTTTTCTAGGTCAGACACTCAGTGCTGCCAGAAAAGAGCTGCAAAAGTAAACTTCATCTCTCTGGTCTTCCACTTCCTCCTTCAGGCACCTGAGAAATGCCATTGGGAATGGCTGCTCTTGACTCTCCACTCTTTCCTGGATATGATTAGGCTCATAACCTGTCTTACTAAAGTTAATACATTTTCAAACAATTTTAAAGAAATCTTTTTGTTTACTCTAAGAAGTATGGTTTTCATTTTTAAGGTCCCACTATAAAACGCTCCAAATGCTACAGTAAATAAAGCGAACTTTCTTTTCTCATCAAAGCTATCATTAGCCATATTGAACTTTTCCAACCTTACTTAAAACTCTCCCTAGTCCTTTTTGCCTATTAGCTGAATGGAACTCTTTGCCACTATTTCCAACACTTTACTTCATAATTTTCATCTCTTTTTTTATTCATGCTTTTCCCTCTGTCTTGAATATTCTCTGCATTTCAAAATACTATCCATGGATTGGTTTAAGATGGAGGAGTACAAAGATGTGTTCTTACTCTCTCTTCCAAGAGCACCAGAATCACAACTAACTGCTGAACAATCATTGACAGGAAGACAGAAAGACAAAGAAAGATACCCCACCTCAAAAGACAAAGAAGCTGAAATGAGATAGTTGGAGGGGAGCAATCATAATAAGATCAAATCCCATAAATGGGGGGTGGGTGACTCACAAACTGGAGAAAAATTATACCATAGAAGTCCACCCACTGGAGTGAAGGTCCTGAGCCCCACGTCAGGCTTCCCAACCTGGGGGTCTGGCAAAAGGAGGAGGAATTCCCAGAGAATCAGACTTTGGAGGCTAGTGGGATTTGATTGCAAGACTTAAACAGAACTGGGGGAAACAAAGACTCCACTCTTGAAGGGCACACACAAAGTAGTGTACACATCAAGACTCAGGGGGAAGGAGCACTGACCCCACAGGAGACTGAACCAGACCTACCTGCTAGTGTTGGAGGGTCTCCTGCAGAGGTGGGGGGCATCTGTGGCTCACTGTAGGTACAAGGACACTGGCAACAGAAGTACTCCTTGGCGTGAGCCTTCCTGAAGTACACCATTAGCCCCACCAAAGGACCTGTAGGCTTCAGTCCTGGGTCACCTCAGGCCTCACAACCAACAGGGAGGCAACCCAGCCCCACCGATCAGCAGACAAATGGATTAAAGTTTTACTGAGCTCTGCCCACCAGAGCAACACCCGGCTCTACCTACCACCAGTCCCTCCCATCAGGAAGCTTGCACAACCCTCTTAGATAGCCTCATCTACCAGAGGGCAGACAGCAAAAGCAAGAAAAACAGCAATCCTGAGCCTGTGGAAAGAAAACTACATTCACAGAAACACAGACAAAATGAAAAGGCAGAGGACTATGTACCAGATTAAAGAACAAGATAAAACCCCAGATAAACAACTAAATGAAGTGGAAATAGGCAACTTTCCAGAAAAAGAATTCAGAATAATGATAGTGAAGATGAGCCAGGACCATGGAAAAAGAATGGAGGCAAATATTGAGAATATACAAGAAATGTTTAACCAAGACCTAGAAGAATTAAAGAACAAACACCTAGAAGAATTAAAGAACAAACAAAAAGAGAAGAACAATACAATAACTGAAATGAAAAACACACTAGAAGGAATCAATAACAAAATAACTGAGGCAGAAGAACGGATAAGTGACCTGGAAGACAGAATGGTGGAATTCACTGCTGCGGAACAGAATAAAGAAAAAAGAATGAAAATAAATGAAGACAGCCTAAGAGACCTCTGGGACAACATTAAATGCACCAACATTCGAATTATAGGGGTCTCAGAAGGAGAAGAGTGAGAGAAACGATCCAAGAAAATTCTTAAAAGAGGTTATAGTCGAAAACTTCCCTAACATGGGAAAAGAAATAGCCACCCAAGTCCAGTAAGTGCAGAGAGTCCCAGGCAAGATAAACCCATGGAGAAACATGCAGAGACACATAGTAATCAAATCAACAAAAATTAAAGACAAAGAAAAATTATAAAAACATTAGGGGAAAAATGACAAATAACATACAAGGGAACTACCATAAGGTTAACAGCTGATTTCTTAGCAGAAACGCTACAAGTCAGAAGGGAGTGACATGATATACTTAAAGTGATGAAACAGAAGAACCTACAACCAAGATTACTCTACCTGGCAAGGATCTCATTAAAATTTGATGGAGAAATCAAAAGCTTTACAGACAAGCAAAAACTAAGAGAATTAAGCACCACCAAAACAACTCTACAACAAATGCTAAAGGAACTTCTCTAAGTGGAAAACACAAGAGAATAAAAGGACCTACAAAACAAACCCAAAACAATTAAGAAAATGGTAATAGGAACATACATATTGATAATTACCGTAAATATGAATGGATTAAGTGCTCCAACCAAAAGACACAGGCTCACTAAATGGATGCAAAAACAAGACCCATCTATATGCTTTCTACAAGAGATCCAATTCAGATCTAGGGACACATACAGACTGAAAGTGAGGGAATGGAAAAAGATATTCCATGCAAATGGAAATCAAAAGAGAGCTGGAGTAGCAATACTCATATCAGATAAAATGGACTCTAAAATAAAGAATGTTACAAGAGACAAGAAAGGACACTACATAATGATCAAGTTATCGATCCAAGAAGAAGATATAACAATTGAAAATATTTATGCACCCAAACAAAGGAGCACCTCAATACAAAAGGCAAATGCTAACAGCTATAAAAGAGGAAATTGACAGTAACACAACAATAGTGGGGGACTTTAACGCCTCACTTTCACCCATGGACAGATCATCCAGACAGAAAATTAATAAGGAAACACAAGCTTTAAATGACACAATAGACCAGATAGATTAAATTGATATTTATAGGACATTCCATTCAAAAACAGCTGATTACACTTTCTTCTCAAGTGCACATGGAACATTCTCCAGGATAGATAACATCTTGGGTCACAAATCAAGCCTTGATAAATTTAAGAAAATTGAAATCACATCAAGCATCTTTTCCAACCACAGTGCAATGAGATTAGGAATCAATTACATGGAAAAAAACATAAAAAACACAAACACGTGGAAGCTAAGCAATACGTTACTAAATAACCAAGAGATCACTGAAGTAATCAAAGAGGAAATCAAAAAATACCTAGAGACAAATGACAATGGAAACATGACAATCCAAAATGTATGGGATGCAGCAAAAGCAGTTCTAAGAAGGAAGTTTATAGCAATACATTCCTACATCAAGAAACAAGAAAAATCTCAAAACACAATGTAACCTTACACCTAAAGTAACTAGAGAAAGAAAACAAACAAAACCCAAAGTTAGTAGAAGGAAAGAAATCATAAAAATCAAAGCAAAAATAAATGAAATAGAAACAAAGAAAACAATAGCAAAGATCAATAAAACTAAAACGTGGTTCTTTGAGAACATAAACAAGATTGATAAAACTTTAGCCAGACTCATCAAAGAAAAGAGGGAGAGGACTCAAATCAATAAAATTAGAAATGAAAAAGGAGAAGTTACAATGGACACCACAGAAATACAAAGCATCATGAGACTACTACAAGGAACTCTATGCCAATAAAATGGACAACCTGGAAGAAATGGACAAATTCTTAGAAAGGTATAGCCTTCCAAGACTGAACCAGGAAGAAATAGAAAATATGAACAGAACAGGCACAAGTAATGAAATTGAAAATGTGATTTTAAATCTTCCAACAAACAAAAGTCCAGGACCAGATGGCTTCACGGGTGAATTCTATCAAAGATTTAGAGAACAGCTAATACCCATCCTTCTCAAAGTCTTCCAACAAATTTCAGAGGAAGGGACATTCCCAAGCTCATTCTATGAGGCCACCATCACGCTGATACCAAAACCAGACAAAGATATTACAAAAAAAAGAAAATTACAGACCAATAACACTGATGAATATAGAGGCAAAAATCCTCAACAATATACTAGCAAACAGAATCCAACAATACATTAAAAGGATCATATACCACGATCAAGTGGAATTTATCCCAGGGAGGCAAGGATACTTCAATATACACAAATCAATCAATGTGATACACCATATTAACAAGCTGGAGAATAAAAACCATATGATCATATCAATAGATGCAGACAAAGCTTTTGACAAAATTCAACACCAATTTATGATAAAAAAAAAAACTCTCCAGAAAATGGGCATAGAGGGAACCTACCTCAACAAAACAAAGGCCATATATGGCAA